CCCCCCAAATATTTTTTATATAATATTTAATCTCAAATTTAAGGAAGGAAAAACAGGAAACAACTCCCGAAGGATTGATCTAGTGATGATTCAACAATTGGGAATAAGTTCTGATTGAAGATAAAAAGATAGTCACAAATTTTTATATATTTATTAAATAAAATTCCCTCGTACATTGAACTATGTAATCAATGTTCGTACAACCTCATTAATAATTTTTTAAAATTTCACCTATATCCGTAATAACTGTACTTATTGCAATAATGACGTTATATAGATTGAATTTCTTACAATCTATCTTCTTTTCCATCTACTTATCAAGCACGAATGTGGATTGGGTTTACGTAGCATGGAAGATTTTGTTCGAATGAAGGATCTACAATATAAAATATTTATAAAATATCAGAATTCAGATCTGTACAGCAGTTATAAAGATTCAAGCCTTACATTCATATAAATACAATATCATCAATACTCATATATTTTTTACACAAAATTAATGTCACCCCTCAGATCTTCCTTCATATATTATTTGTTTCTCTTGTTCCATCACTTCGGATTAATTCATCATCACTAAAATAGAAGAAAAAATTGACCAGATATTCCATCAATTCATCCCATGACCAAATGTAAAAAACACTCTGTACAATTATTTGACAAATCATTTACAATTCGATAAAACATTCCAGATTTGCATCTGTCTTGACACATTTTTTAACGTGAATTTCTCATTTTTCAAGTATTTTAGTCTATTAGTAGTCGAAAAACTAGACATAACGCAATTAATGAATTTAAAAAACAGTCTATTGACGTATTTCTCTACAACCACTGGTTTCCGTTATATTTTCAGAATAATATCTCTCAAATACTTGGTTTTGCCATTTTTAAAACTCAATTTATTCCAGCGCACGTATGAAAAAATTTAATAGAAAAATCCAGTAATTTTCTTTGTAACACTAAGAATTCTATTAAATTTCTATAGAATTTCCATGAGCAATTCTATTTACTTTTCAATCTTAATTAAAAAATGTGTAGTTCCTTTGAAAAAAAAAGAGAATTCCAACTGAGAGAATTAATTTAAATCGAACAACTATTAAAAATCCCCAATTTTCAATAAAAACTCCGAAAAAAAAGTATAAAATTGATAAATTAAATTCTCACAGAAGTATACCAAAAAAATATTGAATATCTGGAACAATTTCCGGTCTTTCTCAATAAAATTCCATCATTAATGCACCAATCAAACCTGATTAGTCGAATTAACGCCGAACGCAACAGTTATTTACATATTTAAAACGTCTGATCGCATCCTGGCTGATAAGACCTGATATTGTAAATAATGGCATTAAAAAAAAATAAAATATAATCATCCAGAATTATTGAAAGTCATCAATTACTTCCAATAATTAATGTTCATTGCATTCAATTTATATACATATAACTTTGTTCGTAGAATATAAATCTATTCAGTTTCATATAATCTGTCAACGTTTTAATTTTTCAATTAATATCATGACTGACACAATGTAATTCATTAAATTGTTGCACCATTCCAATCAAATATCTTAGGAACCATCGATTTTTGAAGAATTGTACAATTAATTCCTGGATTTATATAAATTCGCACAGTTTGTCGTTAATACTGTTTCATTATTCATGTTGTGCAGAAATAATCATTTCTATTATGCACTTGAATTATTATTCATTCATCACATCTTTTCTTTCTGGCAATTTTCAACAAAAAATATCGACAAAATTAAAAAAATGTCTAGACTAATTACAGATCTTTATATACAAACGTACAGTCTCGTCATGGAATGGTAAATACTCTCATGTGTTTTTCAGATTGAAGGGAGGAATCATTTGAAGAGAAAAGTCGAGACAATATCAATTCGGTAGTGAAGTTGGAGAATTGAGTGAATTCTGTTGGAAATTTTATGCATATGTCTAGAGTTGTTGAGAGAATAAAAATCATTCTCAACATCTCAGCATTTCAATTATTTATTTGACACATCCCCTTTTTCATTTTTAAGATTATTGAATTTTATAATAAATAATTCTGTTCACATCGAGGAAAAAAGTCTTTCAAGAGATTTTCTTCTCGCGCGAAAATCCCATTTAGTTCAATTTTTTTACGTTAATGAGAACGAAATTGTTTATTAAATTTAGCGATTTTCCACATTGAGATGAGAATATATTCTTTTGTCGAGTAAATAATTTTTTGGATTGGAGTTTTTCTCTCGTTGGAACCGGAGATGTGAGATATTCTGGAAAATCGCTTTGGACTCATCTCTTTTAAATGTATCAGCGATTAATTATTGAAAAGGAATGAGTAACATTGAGAAGCTAGATATTTCTATGAAAAATGAAATTATTTCTGT